TTATAGTTTATTGGCTTTAATTCTAAAAGCAGTATTTCAGACTATGTTAGGAATGTACTCTAACCCTTAAGTACTGATCTCCAGCAGCAGAGCTGAGGAACTTTTTATAATAACATTCAAGCTGACTTATCTCAACTTAAATGATTCTAAGGAAAATCTATTTTCCATTGTGTTTACATGATATTTACCCTTTACAGCAGGATTCAGTTCCCATCACTAGTTTTTGCCATATATATTTTAAATCTTAAATCACTGGAAAGGATACTAGAGACATGAAAGCATGTTCCTAAAATATAATTTACAATAAAACAATAAAAAGAGGCTTAAAAAAAATCAAGAAGTGCTCTCTACCCACCTTAGATTAGAGGGCAGAGTTTCACACTGAGTCTTAAGCAATGTTAACAAAACATACCTGATAATATGGCAATGATAAAATACACCAGAGGAACACAGTCTCTTGACTATACCACTAGAGGTAAACCCTGCAGTAGTTTTCCAGATGGCTAAGAGAAACCAGGAAGAACAAAAAATGACATGTGAAGCAAGCATGGCTGCTTCATGCCAGAACTTGGCCAGACCTCTTTAAACAGTATCCTCAGAAGATAAGGGCAAACATCTAACTTCTCAGACACAACAATGATAACTTTCACAAGGACCCAATCCATTAGACATTATGACAATCATCAATAAGATGCCATCTTTACCATATTAATCACTCCCCAATGTCCTACTGGCAAACTCAGGGCAGGCTTAATTCATTAGTTCACCTACAGCATAAGACATTCGTGGAGCAAGGCAGTACTTGAGAGACCAAGCTACTGGCCCCCACAAACAGAGTCCTACAGAGGCAGAGATACAAGTCTTCTGTAAAGATGTGACCAAATCATAAATTCATCACACACTATTTTGAAGAGTTGTCAGGGACTTTCTTCTCATTCCAAGAGAAGAACGACTGAATCAGTAAAAAGGAACAGGTAGCCCTTTATCTGACCAATTTTAACAGCAATAAAGTTTCTTGGGTACATTCATGAAAATAAATGTTCAGTATTCTGTAAAACTAATCTAAAATTTATTGACTTTTGGCTCTGAAATGAAGATATACATAGTCACTTTTTCTATGCCTGCTGTTTATTTAATTAACTCAGGTGCCTGGGTCCAAATGGTGAGGGTAAACAGATTACTTTGGCTCACGTAATCTGCTTTAAAACAAAACAAAACAAAAAAACCAGCTAATTCAATCTTAGAGACTTAAAAACTAACTCTAGCACCAGTGTTATGCAATTAAAAAGCTTTGTTTAGATATTTCTAGTTCTCTTATTTATTATCTGGATCTAGACATGTTAACTTGTCTACAGCAGAAACAATCCAGCAATCTATAGAGCTACTGAAAGCAGGGTTCACCTAGTCCCTGTATGATTTTAAAAGCCTATAATTCACCTGATAAAACACAGGACCTAAAGAATGAAACTCTGAAGATCTGTCTTCCCCAACAAGGCACACATCTACAGAATGAATTCTACTAGAGTTCGTTTGTTTCTGAAATGCCAGTATTGTTTTACAGTGGCAACAAAAAGGCTGCTTTCTTTTACTCTCTGAAGTAAAGCTTCTGTTTTAGGTTGGTCCTAGTTAACACTAAGAACCAAGGCATTAGGACTGGTTTCTATATGTTATTTTATAGACTTCATTATAAAATGCCCTGTCAGGCTGGTGGTAGAAACTAAAAAGGTCACCAGCATACCTGGCCTCCCACCCAGCCATCCTAGGAAATACTTCCTTGTAAGATATCTCTATTCTTAGTAATACCTAAAACTATGAAATATAAAAATATCTTAGAAAAATAAGAATTTTCTGTGGTCCAGAACTAAGAATATTGATTCACCTGGAACATAATATTTAAAACCCTTTCCTAAAGGTTGGGGGGGGGGGTAGGAAACTGGGACTCTTACCCAGCACTTAAGGTAATAAAGGAACAAAGCTATTCCTCTTTCAATGTATTTCCTTTTCTCCTCCCACCCTTCCCCCATCCAACACAGAGCTCCAAATCTTGTAAAAACACAACTGACACAGATCTAATTTCAGCACACCTCCCCACCACCCCCAACAGTCTTTACAACAGATAATTTAGACCCTAAATGGTGGTAGTGAAAGCTGATCAGCCCTAAAATGATCACTAGTCTGAATGAATAAAGTTGCTTTCACAGCAGTGTCATCAATACTTTTGTCTTTTTTATTGCCAGAGGGCGTGTATGCTTACCAGGGAGAGAGAAAGTTAGAAAAAGCACCCTCCAATGGGGCATGGTCATCCCACAATCCTTTCTCCTCCATTTCTCCATCCCATCAGGATTTTAGCATGCATGCATGTACACATACCTGGTGTATTCCTCATGAGCAGAGATTCAAACCATTAACAGCCAGTGGGGTCCAGTTCCCAAAGCACAGGGCTTATGCTTATGCTACAAATGAAGATTTGAAATTCTTCACCTGCGCTGTCATATTAAGATGGTCCAACTGTGGGCCAGCAGGTGGCAAAGTGGTTAAGGCACCGGAATTCTTCGGATCTGGCAGCTTGAAACTCACACTGGGCATGTGTGCATGTGCACCTGAAACCCCAGAGGGAGAAATGGAGAAGGAATTGTGGCATGGCCATTCCCCTTGGGGAGTGATTTCTCACCTTCCTTCTTTCTGGTTCTCGATGTCTCTCCAGTTGAGTGCACACACTCTGTGGCAAAAATCTTAAAAAAAAGATGGTCTAGCTGTGGAGATGGAAAAAATGTACTCCATTCCAAACTCCCAGGCCCTGACTCATTTCAGAAAGTAATGAAACACCTTTTCATGGTCTAATTCTTTGATAATCTGTTGATAAGGATCAATGTAGAGCTCAACAGCTTGGAAAAATGTATTCCCTCTATGACAAAAACAAAAGAAAAAGGGCATGATGAGGTAGATGCAGTAGAGATGAATGATGTTGTAGCAGAAAAGGAAGGACTCATATATCAACTCAGATTAAGGTGTGCTACTTGAAAGACCAAGAGGAAGGAAGCAATAAGCTAGGGAAATAATTGATGTTTAATTTACGAATGCATTTAGAAATATACACAAATCAACATCTAATACTCCCTTTGTTCTCTGGTCATAAACCCCTACAAGACTGCTCTGAATCACATGTAGAAGATAACCCTAGGTGGGCGCGTACAAAGCATACCTCGAAGATGACCAATTAAAAATGGATTTGAGGGGCCGACAGGTGGCATGGTGGTTGAGAACACTGGGCTCCCACATGCTCAACCTTGGTTCGAATACCAGACCTAGTGGCTTGCTTTCTCACTTTAATCTCTTTCTCTCACTCTGTCCCTCTCTGGTCAAATTGAAAGAAGTAAATAAATAACTTTAAAAAATGAGTTTGAAAATTTAACCAGGAAAATGTGTTCTAAAGCAAAATGCAAAATGTAAACCAATGTATAACTTATTCAAAGCAGTCTTGTGCAAAGAAAAGAGAAAAAAATTTTTGAGTGCCTACTCCAAATATAAGATAGATCCCCTCATTTTAACAACGATCCTGGGAAGTGACATTATCCTACTTTTAGAGATGTAGAAATAAGGACCCAGAGAAGTTTAAATAACTTGCTCAAGGTGACACTGCTAATAACTCTCAGTACAGAATTTAAACCCCGGTCTGCTGATCTCTAAAGACTGTACTTTATATCTTATTGATACACATATATACATCATCGTTAATTTTATTTCAGTATATAATGAGCACTTTGTAATGCAGGCAGTATGTGGGATAAAAATCATGAGTGTAACTCACAACCTTTGTAGGAACTACAAAGCATAAAGCTATTCAGGCCGGTCAGTCCTACCTTCCAGAGCCACTCAGCTCTTCTGTCACATCCCATGAGCCTGAACTGTAAGATGAGAGCATTATTCTCTGCTTCCAGGATCTAAGAGCCTTAAAACTACATTTATAAATTATGTTCTCCTCCCTTTTTTGGTACTGGCCCATACTCCTGAATATACAGGATGATTCTTCTGCTAACCAAAAATTCTTTTTTTTTTCTTTTTGGAGAGGTTTTCACTATAGGGCGCGTGCGCTCGCCAGACAGACAGAGACAGACATAGAGACAGAAAGCGAGAAATCACCCCCCAGGGGGGATGGCCACACTGCAATCCCTTCTCCTCCATTCTCCTCTCGGGATCTTGGGCACGCACACGTGCAAGGCGTGAGTTCTAAGCCACTGGGTCTGGGACGCGAACCGTGGTCGACTATGTGTGAGTCCAGCGACATAACCATTACGCAACTGCTGGTTCCCATGCTAACCAAGAATTCTTCATTCAGACCACCTATGAAAAAGCAACTGCTATTTTTTAACCCCAAATTTCCCAGTATCTACTGGAAAGTTGGAATTCTAAGGTGGATAGCACTCAGACATCAACTAAAGGTATTGGGTTGGTGGTTGGATAAGTCATGATGCATTTTTGCATAAAAACGCACCATGACTTTTCCAACTAGCCAGCAGCATCCCTCATCACTCTCTCTCTAGCTTTCCCTAGCTTTCAGTCAAAAGTCAAAATAGTCCCCTTTAGATGACAACCCAAAGCCATAAGCGGAGAAGAAACGTCATTCAACAAAAGGCTGAACTGAACTCAAACTAATTCCCAGTTCTTCCACAACGTAGAAAGATGATCCACACAAAGGCAAAACACAAGGCAAACAAAAAAGGAAGAGATGGACACATAAGGCGGGGGGCACATGTTCACTTATTTCTCAACTTAAGGCACTGTAAAATCCACAGCAATAGTTTAGACAGAAAGTCAAAATGCCCACAACCAATTAAACTTGAAAAAGTAATTTAACCAGAGCTGGAGTATGGCCAAAAACAACACCCAAAGTCTTTGAGAAACTGAGCTAGGAATTTTATGACTTTAGTGGTCAGCACCTGAGCATTTGGGCAGCGTCTGTCTTGAACTCAGGAATTTAAATGCCTTCAACTCCCACTCACCTTTCCTCTTTATCACTGAAGTAAGGCCAGGCTGAGCTCCTGAGAAAATAGGTCTGTAGATTCACTGAAGGACTGAGAAAAGTTAAAATTTACATGGCAAAGGTATCTCTCCTACTAAACATAACACAAAGATTTAGGTGTACATTTTCGTATTTTTAGACCTCCTCAGAACTAATTTAAAACCAGAATTAAAGTGATCGGATTCTGACTACTGAACAAACAAGCCAGAGGCATACGAAAATAAAATGAACCCACGCGAGGATTAGAAGCCAGGCAGGTAATCTCCCATCTCCGCTACAACGTAAAAGTCATTTAAAAGGAAAACCTGAATCTTTTCAACGCTAAAACGTAAGCAAACAAGCTCTCGGCCAGAAGCCACAGCGCAGGGGGAAATCCCGGAGAGAACGTGATAGCGCCAGTGCCGGTTTGTTTACAGAGACTCCGGCAACAATCCTGAGTCAGAAATTCAAGCCACCAGATGCTTTCCAACTCACCGGGACCAAAAGGGACCGTTCTAAGGTGTCCTACAAGATTCGGGGGTGGGGGGAGGTAAACTAAGAGAATTGTATTTCAAAGGGGACAGGACCGGACAGCAACAACTGCCTCCCGGGTTCCTGGACCTTGGCCTTCCGCACAAGGTGCAGGGCCTGAGAACTTGGAGTGGGGGAAGGGGCGCACGGCGCGGGGGCCCCGGGGTGACGCAGGGCGAGCCGCGACCCCCGACCTAAGGGGACAAACGGGAGCACACAAATGGGTCACCCGACAAAGCAAGACGTCCCTGTGAACTGTGGGTCTGGCTTCTGGGGGCAGCCCGAGGGCTGATCTGAGGAAGGGACAGCCAGTCCTCCCGGCGGTTGCTCGGAGCAGGGGAAGGAGACCTGAGCGCTGCGAGCTGGGGGACGAGGTCAGGGCCATCCTGAGTGGGAACCGGCCACGGAGAGGGGGCAGGCCGAGCCAGAACGAGACACGGACC